AGTTGAGCCTGTAGTTAACAGATGGAAGCCTGACACCCCTTGCCTTCTTATGCTTGTTTATTGTGGTAGGGATGGAACCCAGGCCTTGGTTCTGCCACTTACTACCTTCCTAGTTCCTTGGTGTTTTGAGGGTGACTTCAACTCACAATCCTCCAGCCTCTGAGTACACAGATTACAGGCTTTTGCCACTGTGCCCTGCTAATTATGAAACTTTATGATATGTTTAAATATCTGCTGCCCCCTTTATTTCCCTCTTGCTCTCCTTTTATATTTTTCTTTTCTGGCTCTTTTTGCCTTTTTGTTTCTACAAATAACACTGATGGTCAACTTACCTAGCTAAAGGTTAGAGAAACTGGAATGAGAATTAGAATTGCAATAAATTTATAAATTAACTCAGGAAGGCTGCTGTCTTTAAGTTATTGGGTCTTTCAATTTAGGTACATGACATTTCATTTGTTCAAGACTTTAGGTTTTTTTCATTGTTTCATTATGGAATTTGGATATTTTTAAAGTTTCTTCAGAGGCATATTAGAGTATGATAAATGAATTTATCACTTCAGATATATACATACGTACATACATACATATATGAACAGCATTTTTTTGGTGGAATTCTACAACCCGTGACTTAATTAAAACTTATTGTTGTACAATTTTTATACTGAGTACTCTGGGTTTTCTAGAAATAACCAACATTTTTCTTTCTAATTCTTATGCTTGTCTCTTCTATTCTGATTGCATAGGCCATCATCTCTGACTGGCGTTACATTGTAGGAGATTAAGCAATACCCTTTCCTCAATTCTAATTTCCCAAGTGGGCCTCTAGTGCATCCCTTTTAGAGACACTTTATCATGTCAAAGACAGCTCCGAAATGCCTCATTATTATGAGAAACTGAGATACACAGACATCCTTGTAGAAGCTGGCTCTAGGCCATGCAGTGGCAAATGGCAGGTTCTGAGCTTGACCTTGGGATTGGTTTAAAAGTTCTCAGTCTTTGTACCACTTCCGTTTTTCATTACGTGGACTGATGTGTCCTCTCATTCTTCAGTGTGAGCCTCTCATTGCATAGTTTCACAAGAGATTTAAGAGGGAGTGGGGTGTATGAGAAGGGCTTGGAGAGAGGTGCTTGAGCAACAGGCTTGTCTTTTCTGTGCTGTCTTCAGCCATTCTCCCAAGGTATACTCTATGTAGCAAAACAAGAGCTCTTAGGAAACCAGAAGTTCCCCTTCTTAGGGAACGACTGACTACCTTCAAGTAGTAGCCTCCTGCTTCCTTTCCTTCCCCCACTTAACTCTTCTTCCAATCTTATTCACCCCTGTCCCTAAGAATTTTCCTGAATCCAACCACATTGTAGTGTCCTACAAAGCTTAGTTGACCGTCACTGCCTCACAGTCTAGCCTGCCAGACAAATTACATTTTATAAGAAATAGATGGATTGATCAAGGTGTGGTGGTGCAGGTCTATATTCTTAGCACCTGGGATTCTGAGACAGGGGGATTCCTTCAAGTTTGAGGCCAGTCTGGGCTTACATAGTAATTGCCCCTCTAGCCAGGACTCTTATTAACAAACACACAGTGCACACATGCACACACACAAGTGTGCACAGTAAACAAGAAAAGGAAAAGCAATGGACTTTCTTTTTTTGGGAAATATATTTGGGCTTTGGTAGCCATTGAAACAGCCAGGCTTCTGTCCTGACCCTCTTGACAACTTTCAGAGACAACAGGTTGTCTGTCAGTCTCCATGTTGATCCCATTGCCCTTTTTCATCCAGTAGGTGGTGTCCCTTCTCAGTGTGGTTGTAATGCTAGGCCCACAGTTTCCATGGTGAGAGAATGGACCCTGAATTGTACCCTCAGGCTTCTAGCAGTTTCTCCAAACAGAAAAATCTCCATCCTATTTGCTGTCTCTCCAAAGGAGAGAAAATAGGGCCATGACAAGCCCATTTACTAGCCCGATTCTCAGGCCTTTCAATAATTTTGATTTCTGTTTGCCTTCTTTCTCCCTGTGGAGAGCCCAGTACCCTCCCTTCTTCATATATAGCTCTAGAGCTCCACACCCGCCTCTCTCCCCAGGCAGTTTCGTTCTCACCCAGGCTTGACTCCCTCCTTTGTACTGACATTCACTACACCAATGCTGCTCTTGGCTGTTTTTTTCTGCAGCTGGGCACAGGAGGTCATTCAGTGCAAAGCTTATGTTTGGCTATTGAGGAGAAAGGGATCTGCAGGACTAGTTCTTGGCATCACCTACATGACAGGAAAAGTCAGGCGCTCAGAGCAAGGAAGCACAGAGCCTTCTCCTGCTGGACCAGGAGTTGGGTTTCCTGTGTCATCTTTGGTCTCAGAGGACACCGCCTGGGGATTTTTCCACTTGCTTTAACTGCTTAGCAGCAGAGGGGCCTGAGTAGTTCTGAGGCTGAGGAGTTAAGAGAGTGAAGCTAAAGATCAAGGAAGAGAACGGGGAGGAGGGGAAGCGTCTGTTCATGTCTATGCTTTCACAGATGCTTTAGAGGAAAATGGCTGCCATTTCGGACTTTGACCACCAGGAGCCAGAAACCTTGGTGTCCATCTGTTCTTCATAGATCTTCTGTTGAGGCATTTTATAGCTGTCTAGTCCATAGGTTATAGAGTTGCTGAATTCTGTAGACATTATTAAATCCAGTTTATAGATGAGAAACGGAGGCTCATGCATTGTAGAAGTGTTTTTTGTTTGTTTGTTTGTTTTTCAAGACAGGGTTTCTCTCTGTAGTTTTGGAGCCTATCCTGGCACTCGCTCTGGAGACCAGGCTGGCCTCCCTCCAGAGTGCTGAGATTAAAGGCGTGCACCACCAGCGCCCCTATAGAAGTTTTTGTAAAACTTCTTTTGTAAAAAGAACAACTTTTTTCTCTTCTGTCTGCATAGCACCGTCTGGCACTATGAAAGCTATCATGCCAATTTCATGGCTGAACTTTCTAACCACGATACTGAGATGTTGGTTCCTTCCTGGCACGTGGGTATCATACCGTCCAGTAGATGCTGCTGAGGTTGGAATATCTGGGATGTTCTAGGGGTTAATATGTCATACAATATTTAAGACTCAGATAGTTTTGTGGATTCCCTGAGGGGTGGCTACCTCTTGGACAGGTTGTGAGGCCCTCCCTGGATGTTTGAGAACAGCTGCACCAGCCAGAAAGATGGTATTGCACCCTCCTTCTCTAGGGGAGGGTGAGGGTGCTGAGAACAGTGAGATGAAATGGGGATTCTGTGTATGCCCCAGGCATCAGCCAACAGTACAGTTTGTAACCTCTCAGGCTGCATGCCTGACTCCAGGGAGCAAATGGGACCAGGATTTGGCTGCTTCTGGCTGGGATAAGAGACTGGTTTAGTGTGCAGGGATCCCAAGGCCAGCATTTGGGGAGAAAGGGGAGAGAGAAGTCGGCTACCCACGGAGTGACCAGCTGAGATAAGCAATGCCAATAGGATTCTAGCCCCGAGGACCACAGCTTACAGGCAGAATTGATGGATGAGCTTGGAGCACTGCAGAAATTGTCTCAGAGAACACGACACAGCCCTGACCAGGTGAGGAAAAGGAGCCCTCTGCATCCCTGCCCAGAAAGATGACTGTCTACTGTACACAGTGATCAGAAGGAATAAAATCCAAGTAACACAAAAAATATCAAGTTCTCAGTCTCATAGCCATAGCCCAAGGACTCGGTTGCCACAGAGGGTGTTGCATAGCTATTTTCTGAATTGTAGTCCCTCTGGGAGGAGATGGTTCCTAAGGTCCAGGAAACTTACAGAGCTTAGGAAGTTGTAAGATTCACCACCCCCAATTATATATGTGATAAACCCTTGTTGGGGAAGGGAGACTTGCATAGGGCTGCCTGCAAATTGGGCAGGGAGCTGCTCCAGGGGTGCAGCTTTCATGAGCATCCCCCATGTGCCTTGATTCTTCCTTTGATTCTGTTATTCTCCTGTAATTAACCCCAATAAACTCATTGGTCCCCAAGCTAGACTTTGGTAGAATCTTTGATCTGTTGATGGTGCCCTGTCTGGGGTGAAAGTACTGGCTCATGTCTGTGCAAGAGGAGTCACACAATAGGTGGCCAATACTGTAAAATGTTTCCATCCACCATCCAGAAAGTTCTATTTAAATCTCCACTGTTGGGCTGGCACTTTTATATTGATTTCATGTTGAAATAATTTTTGCTATCTTGATTTAAATAAGATAATATTAATGCCAACTTCATTTGTGTTTACACATACATACACACACACACACACACACACACACACACACACACACTCACACTGATACCATGTATGTGGGTACAGGAGCACACCTTCACTTAGTCATCATTTAAAAAAACACATCCATTCAGTGGTATTTGGTTCTATGGTGGCCTGAAAACCTTTTAAGTAACTGTGACAGAGGCAGTCCCAGATAATAGGACCAATGCAACTTTGGAGGAAGGAAAATCCAGGTTAGATAGTGACTGCCCCTCTCTGTTACAGTGGTTCTCAACCTTCTAATGCTGTGACCCTTTAATACAGTTCCTCATGTTGTGGTGGCCCCCAGCCATAAAATTATTTCATTGCTACTTCATAACTGTAATTTGGCCACTGATATGAGTTGTAATGTAAATACCTGATATGCAGGATATCTGCAAAGAAACCCCCAAAGGGGTTACCACCTGCAGGTTGAGAACTGCTACTCTATTAGCTTGTGGACTTGGACCGTGTTACACAGGTTTTCTTATTTGAAAGGTGTATGCCGTGCTAGTTTGGTCACAGAGCACTACTGGAATGTTTTGGGGGTGGTGCATGTGCACCTAGAGGGGTCCTGGCCCCTAGTCAGCCCCAGTGAATGGCAGCCAATGTTACCATTAGACCACCAGCAGTTTTGGTACGAAAGGGGTGAGCTCTCCCGGCCTCAGACTACTCACCACTGTTGCTGTAGCCTCCAACACCCCCTCTCAGGACACTAGCAAGCCTTTAGATGAACAGCTGGAGGACTTACCTGCTGGTAGCTGCTGGCCCAGGAGGCCCGGAGGGCATCCCAGCCTCCAGAGCGTTTGGCCTTGCTCTCCAGGTGAGCCCGCAGCTGTGTTTCCAGCTCCTGGCTGACTTGTTCAAGAGCATGCACTTTGGTCATATATTCCACTAGGCAGCTCCCCAGGTCTTCAACAGCAGTGTGATCCCTTTCTGGGCCTGGAGCAGGGACAGTGGTAAGGCCTGAACTCCGTAGACCTTGCAGGAAGACACTGCTGATGCCCAGAGCCCGACGGGTCACTCGGGCACTGAGGCCACCTATGCACCCACTGGGTGCTACTCCTACATAGACCCCAGGTGCACGGATGAGGCTACCCAGTGCACTGGTCCTGGATGCTGGGGGGCTCTCAAGGGAGGATGGAGACCGTGTCCCCCTGAGGGACACCCTGTGCCTCTGCAGGGGCATGCTGGAGTTGGCTCCAGGGGGCAAGTCCGCTGCCACTCTCCTCTCACTCATCATTCTCTCTGCCTCTGTGGTGCCTGGCAGGTTTACAGAGTTCAGTGGCTTTTGGTTGCTAGTCCCAGCATCCCCATGGCCTGGTCACGGGCCTCTCTGGAAGCTCCTCTGTCCCCGTGTTCTTTGTCTACTGCCTTCCATGAGCTTCTGTTGTTCATTGAGCCAGAAGAGAACCACCCCGCCAGCCTGTGAGAGGCACACAGGCGTTCTCTGATGCTGGGTCATGTGCCCAACCAATCCAGACTTTTCTGCTGGGGTGAGGGTGCTGGAGCAGTGCAGGTTGTGGGAACGGATCCTCTAGATTTGTCTTATTTCTTTTTAGACAGGGTGTCTGAGTCTGGCCTTAAAATCTCTATGTAGCCAGGATGAGCTTGAACTTCTGATCTTTTGCCTCTAATCCCTGCAATAGAATCCAGGGTCTCATGCATACTAGGTGAATACTCTGCGACCTCTATATCCCCAGCCCGTGGGTTTGTGTATGTTACTGCCATAGAGAGAGTCGGGCAGGCAATAAGTGGTTCTGTTTCACCGGTAAGGAAACAGGCTTGAGGACCTTGGGTGACAAGTGTACTGATCACTTTATATCTCACAGCACAAGCTGGGACTCATTGTAGTGGCCTCAGGACCGATTGCAGGACTTTCCACACCCCTTGACGTGCTGAGGTAGGGGTGTGCACATGCGTGTTCATGTTGTACATCCACATAGGATCAGAGGATGGATGTGGATGTGAGCCAGCCATGGACAAAGGTGCAGCCCAGGAGACCCAAGGGAAACAAAGCAACCTGCTGCCCTCAGGTCTGGCAGCCGTTCCAGGCCCCTTCCAGCTTCTCTCTCCCCCCCTCATGTCTGCCCTCTGACACAATGCTTGTCAGCTGCTGGCCCTGGCCATGTTTCTCCTCCTCTAGACCTTGCCGTACATCTGCCTGATTGCTAATTCTGACACATCAGATGCTCTGGAGCCAGTTTAGGACCTGAACTTCTGGGAAGCTGTTTGTTAGGCTCTGCTCTTTTCCACCTCTGTGTCTTCCTCTAATAAGACTAGGAAGTTGAAAACAACAAAACAATTTCTGGAAAGCACTCATGGGTGCTACAAGTTAGGGTTGCTGGGCACCTCAGGTTTTAATCGTTGCTTTTGGCATACTCCAAGTCACACTTTCAACGGTCACATCCCAGTCACTTCTTGGGGGCTTAGAATGGTCCCTCCAGCCTGGGAATGTGCTCAGGTTGTAGTGTATTGGAACTAAGCATCCCAGGTCTAGAGATGGACATACTCCTTGACCCTATAATGTGAGGATGGACCTGAGTCAAGAGACGGGAACGGGAGTCACCTTCTGGTAGGTACTGAGTATACTCAAATTCTGAGCACAGTTCCACTCTTTACCTCACTGACTTTTCAATCCAACTTTAGAAGGCAGGAAAACACAGGGCTGACAAGTACTGCTGTTTGGGTGCACACTGTACAATCCCAGAAGTATTATAGATACCATTACTCCCCTTTGTGACAGGTGACTCTGAGATCCCATGTCCGGAACTTAGCAGAGCTAAGGAAGCCTCTCTGTTCTGGGGACTTACATAGGTTGTCTCTAGCACCTGTCAATCGCCAGGGTCACACAGGTTCTACTCATCTGCTGGAGCACTGTGTGCACTTTTATTGTCTATTTATGAAATCTGCGATCTTTCCCTTCTACTTTGTTTACTTGAGACAATGTGGGGGGCACTTGGTTACTTTTGTGTGTACATGTGGAGGCCAGAGATCAACTTCAGGGGCATCCTTGGGGGCTATCCACCTTATTTTTTCAGGTAGGGTCTCTTACTGGCGTGGAACCCACCAGTTAGGCTAGACTTGCTGGCCAGTGAGCCCCAGGGATCTGCTTGGCTCTGCCTACCCAGTGCTGGGATTGGAGGCATGTGTCACTTCACCCAGGTATTTCACGTGGGTTCTAGGTCTCAAACCTGAATCTTCATGACTGTAAGGCATTTTACTGAGGTGTTTCCCCCACCTTCCAGGAGACACTTCATTAAATTCCAGTGTTGGTTATTTGATTGACAGATTAAGGAGCCAACTGAATCAAGCAAAGGACAGTAGTTTATAGGCCTTAGCTTGCATAGATGTGGTACTCTTCCTATGAATACATCTCCGTGGCTCCCATGGTGCACTGGTAACAGCCTCCTAATACAAGTGGCACAGCTGGGCCCCATGAAACTGCCTTTCAGTCAGTTCCAGGATGTATTGTCCAAGGTTAAATGAAGGGTTCAAGCTGACTGTAAAGGTGTTTTGTGGCCTTAGGCACTGTTACTGCTCAGGGAATGGAAATGTTCAGTGGTTTTAGACACTCTCAGACCCAAAGACATTTATTTCAAATCTTCCCTGTCCCTGGAGATGGGGACAGGCAATGGGAGGCACCTCAATGGACACTAATGTTTCAAAGATCTGAAGGGAGTCTGAATAGACTCTCCCTTGGAAAACCCACCCTCTTGTTCTAAAAGAAATTTTACCAAATGATAACTTGATGACCCTGTTACCTCATCACACTTATAAAATTCAATATAATGTTCAATTAGATAAAAAAGTACACATGGAAATGAGAACCTTATGGGTACCATCAAAGTGGGGGACTTAAATGTCTTTTTTTTTAAAATAAAAAGAATGCAACATATACTAGCAACTTGATCCTCTGGGTAATAAAATAAGTTTATTTATATATACATGGTAGCTGAATTCTGTGGATACGGAAAAATAAGTCATACATCCACAAATGTATATATAACATATGTGACTTTGACATATATTATATATAAATTGTACTTTACAAACAAGTTTTCTCTATACATACTCACACACATTGGTATATTCAATGCAATAGCTAACAGAAATATTAGATAAGGTTAAGGTCAGACAGCAACATGTGAGCGAGGGAAGTCTCGGCACAACATTTAACCTGCTGCTTTTGTGGGTTGAAGTCTTTGAGAAGAGACGAGCAGACTCATGTTAAGTAGGGCCACACAACATTGAGAACACGTGGTAGTTTTGAAGGCCGCCTTCCTTTTTGAAAGGAGAATGGAGGAGGAGAGGAAGTCGTGGTAAGAGGACCACAGCAACAACACAGACATCGAAATCAACAGTCAAGTTCAAGTCCCGATCTGACAATAAGAACATCTATATTCAAAATATACTATCAAACTATTTTTCTTTTAGAGGGGGGGGTGGAAGAAGTTAAATTTCCTAGCCACGGTGGGTGGGTTAGGAAAGGAACAGAGAAAGCTACTGCCTCCAGAATTCCCCCTTGGGTCTCTGAGAGTCTGCTTCCTATTGGCCACACTGGCTGCAGTGTGGGCTGGGAATGCAGCTGGACCTGGACTGGGGGAATGAGAGAGGGGAGGCAGGGGACAGTGAAAGCTGATGGCGAGTTCATGGGCAGGTCTGCAATGCTTCTGCTTCTAGACAGAATGGCACTTCTCTCGAGTGATTCATTTGGCAATTTTCTTTTCTTTAAAGATTTAATGGGGAAGGTTAGAAAAAAAATACTTCTATGCCACAAGGCTTTCTAGATAGACCTGTTTCTGGGGGGGGGGCGCAATATCATTGCCTTCCAAGAAAGCAATATAGAATCCTAATAAACACTTGATTGGCCCTTGAACATGGGCAGGCAAGTATGGCACATTCCCAAGTCCGAAATCTGCATCTGTTCTCCCAGGAAGTGAGGCCTGGGGTGGGGGTGGGGAGTGCATTGGAAAGGGATGCAGGGAAGTGTTTCTAGGGAACACTTTCCTGCCAGACGAAGGCAGCCCTGTTTGTTCTAGCATAGTGGGAGCACCCTGTGGGGTGATATCTGGGGGCTGGAACCCCATGATGCCTTGATGTCTTCTATAGATCCATTAAATTTGACATTCAATGGTGGCAAGTTCCCTTCCGTTTTGTACACTTGCCTGTGTCTTCTGCCTTGGTGCACCAGTTCCCTCCTCTAGTATACATACAAGGAGACAGGAAATGCGTATATATTGAGTCAAGGGAACCATAGCTTCAAGGACAAAGGACCACTCACTTGGCTATCATGACATTAAGCTTCCATGGGAGACTGGTCTCTTTCCTCACCTGCCCAGGGCTCCTGGGACCCCTACATGCCCAGAACAGTCAAGAGAAGCAATCAATGCAACTGCTTTGCTTAGAAATACCTTTATTTTATAAAGCCATGGGTCATTCTGTAAATTTTTTTTTAAACCACACTTGTAAAAAAGATGTTGACAATTCTTAAGAAAAAAAGCTGAAAATGTTTCTTATTAAGTCAGGGTTACACAAAGGTTATATTTATAATATATATATTTGTATATTTATAATTTAGAGACAAAAAATAGGGAGTGGCAACGCGGAGGCTGCTGCATCTAGATCTCAGAGACTTGATCGTTTCCCACGAACAGTGTTTCCTGGCAGAAGGGGTTCACAAGGACCATCCCAGTGTCTCGATAGTCGCCATTGGCTGGGGAGCGGGGTTCTGAGAGCTGGTCCTGGGGAGAGAGGGAGGAAGATGGTGTGAGTTGGGGATGGAAGAAGGCTGACAGCTCTTCAAGAAATGCACTAGTATTAGCTGGGTGTGGTAGCACACACTACTCCAGCATATAGGAGGATGACAAGTTCAAGGCCAACCTGGGCTACATAGTGAGAGACTGCTTCAACAAATCAAACAAATAAGCACACATGCACGCACACTCACCACAATACACATCCACTCTACACACAGACACACAGACTACACTCTACACACAGACACACACCCCACAAACACTACATATACCCTTCACACCACACACACACACACACACACACACACACACCCCTTACTGCCTTAGTGAGCAACACTTGATGCCCTTGGACTCCAGACTCCACTTCCTGCCTCTTCCTCAGGCAAATTCTCAGCTTTTCCTTTTCAAATACACCTATGGGTATCACTTATCCCATAACTACCCTTCAGAGTCTCACAGGCCCACCAGTCTTCAAAACCCAGCGTATCCTCCTCTTACCCCTCTCCCCACCTCCTGCCTGGTGAGAATCACTGCCCCCTTTCTTGTAGCAACACAAGCACCCACATGGACAGACCAGATCTCTGTGCAGCATTATGCTATGCAGTAAGTGAAAACAAGAAAAACAACAAAAACACACCTGCCCCCCAAACTTCAACCTGTCTGTTAAGCCCCAGGGTGGACAAGCCTTTAAATGGGCACTCCACACTGCTCAAGAGGGAATCGGGAGGCTTCCAGAGGGTTTTCATCTCGGCTGCCAAGGGACTACAAGCATTTGTGGGCTACTGATGGCAGTTGTTCCCAGATCCAGGTGTTAACTTAGGGGGAAGACAGACCAGCCAGTGCCTGAGTAAACACCAAACAGCCAAAGTCCCAGAACTTGCAGGCCATTTCAAGGCCCTGTATATGCTTGCCTGGGCTAGACTTCTCAGAAATGGCCTCTTTTTGAAGCCACAATTCATTCCCTGAAGTTTCTCTTTAAACAAGAGACAGTTCCTAAGGAAGAGGACCAGCTGCTTTATGGGTGGCCCAGAGAAGAGGAAACTCTGTTATTGATGTCTTTTCAGGAGACAGGCATATCCCTCAAGGGCTGACCTGACCAAGTCCCACCAGGAGGGTGCATGGAAGCCTGGCCTTTCTAACGAGAAGAGACAGAAGTCCTTTACTGTGCTCTTGGGCTGAGCTGTTGTGAGGGGTTTGGAGGTTGAAGTCTGGCTTTTGTATAGGTCTATGGTTTTAGGTATGGACTAGTGGTGAACCTGGATAGGGGGAATATATGGGGCACTGCATGAAAACAGAAAGGCATTTAGGAAACAAGACAATGGAGGGGGAAGAAGACGGGAGCGAGGAAAGGGAAGAAAAGTATCCAAGCTCCCTTGGGCTCTGTGATCTGCCATTTCATCATCATAGCAGCAAAGAGTAGGGCACAGAGACACTTTCTTAGGCAAGGCATGTGGGGGTGTCTGGACGGTAGGCACATCTTAGGCAGGGCATGTGGGGGCGTCTGGACGGTAGGCACATCTTAGGCAGGGCATGTGGGGGCATCTGGGCAGTAGGCACATCGTAGGCAAGGCATCTGGGGGCGTCTGGACGGTAGGCGCATGTCTCAGGGTGCAGAAGGAAGGAGGATGGGACCATTCTGTGGGTGGTCTACAGGGCATGGATGACCCCAGCAGTTTCCATCCTGGCTCCGAGCGACCTACATTTTGACCTCACACAGCACAAGTTTAGTGCTTTGGAACAGATTATAGTCCTTTTATAAATACAGCAGAACGGAGGGAGTAGATTGGTGGGGGCGGGTGTGTGTGTGTGGGGGTAAGGTACTATTTGAAGCCAAATCTGGCATACTTCCTGCTGTGGCTTTTGTGGTGCCTTCTGTTCTGGAGACTGTGGCTAGGTGGCCCTTCTCCTGGGAGTCCCCTAGTCTGGTGCCACCTGTAGACCAGGAGCCCGGCCCCCAGCCCTTTGGTTCCACAAGTAGAATACCATAGTGTTCTCCAAGCGGAACTTTTCTATCGCGTGTTTATGGGCTCTGCTCTTCAGTGGCCACTTCCCCATTTACAGAGAAAATGCAAGAAATTTAGGCTTCACTGCCCAGATTCAAACCTTTCTCAGGTTTTCCACTTACTTTGTAAGAAAAATATGTGCTGGTTTCTCACCTAAATGAAAGCCTGTCTTACTACCTGCTCTTTGGTTGTTAGCTTTTACTGAGTGGCTACTGTGGTAGGCTCTGAACTGAGTAGGGTGAGTCATGGTGGTTTTGTTCATGCATGGTTCATTCATCTACTGTATGTTTGCTGCAGACCACCATGGGCCATGTCAGGCACAGTTCTAGATGCTGCAAATGGAGAAGAGTGAATTCGATAAACAAGGCTCCTGGCCCCAGACCCTTTTGTTTTAGCAAGGAGAGGGAAATGAATGTGTCAAGAGAGCAGCAGGCGGGCATTCTCCTAGTGAGCAGGGCTGTAAGGAGAAAGCAAGCAGGGCCAGGGATGGATGATGAGGATGTGGCTCTAATGGGCTTAGGGCAGTCTAGGAAGGGCTCCTTAGGGAGACCTACAGGAAGTGTGAGGATCTAGGCATTAGAGGGAGAGGTCCAGTTAAGCTTAAGAGCAAAGCTCTTGTGGGTCAAGGGCTTTCTGTGCAGAGCAGAGAGCCCAGGGTGGCTAGGAGAGACTGGGGGTTGGTAGGGGACTGAGAGACCAGCTCATGAAGGGACTGGAAAGAGGAACTGTGCTGTGTGTGTGTGCATGCGTGCATACATGCATACAATCAACCTGTGTTGTGTAAGAAGTCAGCCTCAGGTGCTTGAAACAGGATCTCTCACTGGGAACTGGAGTTTGTTGATTAGGCTGGCTGGCCAGCAAGTCCCAGGAATCCTCCTGCCTCTACTGGCAAGCTTGTGCACCCTCACACTAGGATTTTTACATGGCTCCTGGGGATTACTCTCTTACTCTTTTCCTTTGTCTCCCCCTCCCATTCTTCCTTTCCCCCCACCGTGTGTGTGTGTGTGTGTGTGTGTGTGTGTGTGTGTGTGTGTGTGTGTGTCTCATGTATGGGAACTGGGATCCATAGCTAGTGGGGTCACACTTTGGAGAGATCATCTGGCTCCTGTCCTCATCAACTGCAGGAGGTGCAGGGGAACGGAAAGGGCATCCTCGGAGCCATCTGCAGCCATCAGAGTGTTAGAGAGGAGAAGGGCCATGTGCAGGCATGAGAGCGGCTCATGCTAAGGGAGAACCAATAGACTCTGCCAACAGACATGCAAGTTGGGGTTGGTGGCTAGAAGTGTCATGTATGCCACGGGGAACAACAGGTGAGCTTGGAGCTGGGGCCAGGAATGGGCATCAAGGGTTCCATATTGGGTCAATGAGACTCTATGAGGCCGGTATGTGGCTGAGTTCAGGGGAGACATCAGAGCTGCAGACAGAGATGTGGCACAACAGCGACTATGTCCTACACCTAAGAGAAACTAGAGGAGCCTCGAGTGGCTGAGCCTGGGACTCAGTGATGGCAGGTCTGACAGCATAGGAATTAAAACCCCCAAACTGAGAAGAAGCTGCCAGGAGTAGGGCCATCAAGCAGGTGGCCCAAGAAGAGGGAGCATGATATTGAGTTAACATCGGGCTGGAACTCTCAAAGTAGCTAAGTAAATAGGCACACAGTACATACCAGGATGGGAAAGCAGGGGTTGTGGGGGAGGGTGGGGGTGGGGAGGGATGCCGAGATGCTCTGGCAAGAGAGCCACATCCAGCCTGGCAGGTTACACCGTGACTTGCAAAGCGGTGTTCTGAAAGTGGGTTAGAGAGGGTGAGCTGGGTGCTTGCTTTGGCAGTACATATACTAGAATTGGAGCAATACAGAGAAGATTAGCATGGCCCCTGTGCAAGATTAAAAAAAAAAAAAAAAAGGGGAGCTGGGGAGGGAGAGAGGACTGTAGGAGAGGGGACAGTTCACACACACAGACTTGTGAGGGGCGCCATGGAGGAAAGAAATATCTGCCATAGATTAATGGAGTTTGCCAAATGAGGAAAAAGGGGTAGGTATCATATGAGGCCACCTTAACCCTTAAGTGGGAAGCTCACCTGGGTTTTGAACAAGGGAACAAAATATTCAGCTACCAAAGCTCACCCTAGATGCCCAGGGAATGGAGGTATGGGGAAGGCAAGGGAACTGTCACAATAACTCGGCTGCTTCTCATCTCCTGGACCATCTCTCCAAGGTATCTGTCTTCCTCTGAGGGCAGACCTAGTGAAACCCAGAAAATCTTCCCTGTGCCTCTTGCAGGGGGGTGGGGGTGGGGCTTTCTCCCCGGGTTTCCGTGGGGCTTCATCTATTACTAGTCTCAATTTGTTTTGCTTTTGAATGACACCAAGCTTCATCTCCCAGCCACAGCTCAGAATTGGAAGTCCCCTGAGAGCAAGCTGTCATCTTCAGTCCTCAGAGACCGCTTGCCTCCAAACAAGTCCTTAACAAACATTTGTTACTTATTCCCAGACTGAGAACAGCTTCCCCACACTTCAGTGTGAAGAAAGTACCCCAGGGGCTCTAGTTTCAGAATCAGATCCCCAGTGCAGTTGGGCTGGGGCCGGGGGAGAAGCTCCTGGCCCACAGAGCACTCTGGAGGAGCAGGCCCTCAGGGCTGAGCAGGCACTCTGCAGCTCTTTCTGTGGAGCGTGGGCGTGGAGGTGTGGGGCTGCTACCTCTGAGGTCTCCAGGGACTGGATCTCCCTTGGCAGCTCCACTGCATGGCGGTTAAAGTAGTCCATGGTGATGGCATTGTTCCAGTAGCTCAGGTTGTTCTCAGGGTTGGCTGTCTTCTTCCTCCTTCTCATGCAGCACACTGTCAACAGGACGGCTGTGGAGAGACTCCCAGTCAGAGAAGCAGAGTTGGAGGGGGACAATTGCCTAAGTCCCAGTGGGGTGCCGAGGAGGTGGTACTGTCCCCACTCACTTATCCCATTCGTTCAGTTAAAAAAAAAAATGGACTCACGTATCCCAAGCTAGCCTTGAATTCACTATGTATCTGAGGATGTCCTGACTTCCTGAGTTCTGGGATCGCAGGTCTGTGTCACCAGGCCTGGTTGTTGCAGGGCTAGCACTGAAACCAGAGCTTTGCTCATGTAAGACAAGCATTCCAATAACTGTGCTAGCCTCCACTTATTTAGTTGATTTTTCAACCACTGCCTTTATGTTGAGTACCTACTGTGTGCTAGAAACTGTTAGTCATCGCTGTTTTTCCTAAACATCCATCCTACTGCGTGCTTGCAGAAAGAGGTCAGGTGATACATGGGTAATAAAATGAATCGGGTGATTTCCATAGGGATGACTATCCAGTGAAGACAAAATGGCCGAGAGAGGCTGCTTTAGTCCTGGTGGTGGCTCATAGCAAGGGAACTGGCATTACAGGGAGGATCTGGCCCCATGCAGAACGGGCAGTATGTTCCAGGGTTTGGGACCAGCACATGCAAAGAAGGGACCAAAGTGTGGACAGCCCAGGAGTGTGTGAGAATATGGCAGAGAGCATGTGGGGAGGTCAGGAGGGGGAGGCCAGGGCAGTGTTAAGAGGCATACCCCAGGGCTTGGGGAAGGGAGGCTGCATGCATTTGGGGGACATTTGTGGTTGTTGCAGTGCTGTGTTTCTAGTGTGAGTCAAGCAAGGGCTTTGCTGGTCTGGTGGAGAGCTCCCCAGAGCCTGCTGCAAAGACCAGTGTGTGCGCCCAGAGCCTTGCTCTTTGGGAAGGTATCAGTATGAGGGTGACAGACACATTAGACAAAACCCCCAGGCTCATTTAGAGAGATCTGAACACTCAGTCATACAGGTCTTACATTCCAGGGACACTGATACTGATTGCCTTAAATTTTCCTTTTGACCTCAAAGGGTCAATGTTAAAAAGTCCATACTTTTCAGATAGAGAAGTAGTAATTTTATCAGTAGGCTTAAGAGCAAATCTGAATGTGTGGAATCCAAAGTTTCTGGTCTTTAACCTGGGTTTCTGCCGGAGAGTTACACTAGGGCTCACTCTGCTAATGTGACTGCAGCACGGCTCTTCTCAGCCTGCCCTCATGCTATGTGACCCCTGCCTGTTCAGTCTCTGAGACTGAAGAGTCCTGGAGGAATAAGTGTGGCTGGGCACTGTTGATGAATCAGGTGCAAACAGTGGCTTTAGTACAGGGAGCGTCTGAGGTTGAAGAGGCAGGTTGCCTTGTCCAGACTCACACAGCAGAATGGTGGTACACCATGGGGGGAGCAGCTAGGGAGGGGTGAGTATGTCCTGCCTCGGTTCACCATCACCAGAACCCTCCACAGTGAAGGGGATGGGTGGGGACTGCATGTACCTGACTGACATCCTGAAGGTGCCACTCATCTCCGTGCCTGGGAATGAGGTCTCAGGCTGCTCTGCTCAGAGGCCAGCACCAGGGGGCAGCAGAGAGCCAGCTCCCTCAGAACTGGTCCAAAGGTTTGAGCAATGTAGGGTGGGTATGTTGTCAGGGTGCAGAGCAGCTGTACAAACAGGCACATTTGTGAGAGCTGAGACCTCAGAGCCTCAGAACCCAGAACCCCTGGGGGCTCACCTGAACATTCTGTCACTTTCCTCCCCACCATTGGCACCCTGGAAATCATCTCCAAACAAGGTCAGGAGGCAGCTCCCATTTGCATTTTGCCTCATTTGTTTTGGACAGAAAGTCTTCTTCCCACAGGCCTCTAAAGCACTGTTGAACAGTCCCTGACACGGGGAGGGGACTGCAGAATGGGCTCAAGGGGATTTCAGAGACTGGATGGCATCAGATTGTTCAAATTTTGTGGATCTGTCTTTCCCTTGAATCCTTCTAAAGCCCTTTCCTCACTGCTTGAAAGAAAGGGTCAGCAGGGGCCACAAAGCCCAATGTGGAAACGGCACAGTTAGGCTGCCTTTTCATTCTTCTGGGAGACACCACAGTCCAAAGAACACAGCCGGCTGCCACTGGTCCCTTCTCTCCCTTCCTGTTAGCTTTATTCCTCAGAGCCACCAGTTTCTCTCTGCCTCTGAAACATCAGGGAGAAAACAGCCAGGGCAATTCAAGCCAGTGAAGCCAAACCCCTACAGAAATGGAACGCGTTGGAAGTCAGAGGTTTTCTCAGCTCTGCTAACGCTGGAGCCCAGGGGAAAGGGGAGCGTTGCCAGAGATAAACAGGCACTTTTCTCTCGCTGCCCTTTGAGGGTAACTGACTTCACATTGCACACTTCATTGCCACAGATTGTGAGTGGGGGAAAATGTCCTCAAAAGCCACGTCTCTAAGGAAGGTGGGGCATCCGTGCCTTGGACCCACTGAGTAGTCACAGGCAAGCAAGCAAGATCAAAGAGACAGAGAAGGAAGTCTTAGAGAATTGCCTAGTCTTGTGGCCAGAGGGCTGTAGAAGTTAGAATTAGGACCCGGACATTAACACAATGCTCGCAAACCTGAGTAAGTCATTTGACCTCATGGCCTCAGTGCAGCTTACACGTACATCCTGCACGCAGCAGAATTCTGTCCGGCATCTGGTGACTTTCCCACCCAACAGTCTGAACAGCAGGGAGTAGAAACCCAGAGAGATGAACTTCGCAAGGCCATGTTGCGGACCTGGCAGAACACGCCCATTGCTGTGTCTAAGACGCTATACCACCACTGTCTCTGAACCCCGGGTATTTGCAAAGTGCAGTGAGCCTGTCTGTGGGAGGTCTGGTGGCTTCTATTTCTCTTGGGAACCACCTAGGACTTCTCACGTACCTACTACAAGAGATGTACATAGAAAGACACAGTAGGCTCCACAACTGTGATGGTCTCAGGCTAATGCTCTTGCCGCGTTTAGAACTTTTATTCCAGTGTTCGGACCTCCATCCAAGAGAGAAAAGTACAGATGGGACTTAAGTAATCTAATATGCACTGAGAACTGTGTAGTTTGCAGGCCTTTTCAGCCCACACAGTCACTGTGACAAAGGCATGGTTACTCTTCCCATGTAGGGAAGAGATAACTGAAGGCTGCTGGAGTTAATGCTGATCCAAGGTCACCCAGCCTGAACCCGGGTTTTGGTAACCTTTAAAGTAGATGCTTATTGTCCCCTGTCCCTCTGAACACTGGAGGGAACACAGTGTGGCCTTAGAAGCCCTTTGTAAGCTACACAGTGAGTACAAGGTGTGACCCATGTATCCATTTAGCCAAAGAACCAACTGCTTCATGTCTCCAAAGGCAACAGCCACCAAGGCTCGACAGGGAATGAGTGGCGCTCCTCTGTCCTGCAGGTCTAGAATCCGATGCCTGCACCATGAATGACTCTGGCAGGGGCATCAGAGCATGCTCAGGAGCCCACCACAGCACCAGGACTCCCACTGGCCCAGGTGAAATGCTCTTAGATGCTCCATCATTAGTCCCCATTTTACTTTCCCGTGGCATGAGGCCTGCATTGCTGCCTATGGCTTGCCTTGCTTACTCTAGCTCTTCCTGGATGTTTTATAGCTGCCTTGCATGCCTGATTCCATCTTGGTGCCTCACGCTTAAAGGGACCTGAACATCCTTTAAGCAGGCACCGCTCTCATCCAAGAGAAGAGAAAGCACAGGAACATAGGTTAAGCCCACAGTCAAGAGGTAAGGGCTGGGTGTGTGGGCAGGTGTGTTTGATTCCATAAGCCATTTCTAGCACTGAAGGGCATTCCATGAAGGATTCAAGTGGCAGCAGATGAGGCCTGGATTTAAGGCCACAAGCCTAAGGAAACTTAGGGGCTTAGTGTCTGGCTCTTCATCCTGGTGTGTGGGAATTAAGTGTTTAGGAATCTTACAGGGGACACTACGTTGAAGCCCAGAGATAACTATTTTAGCTTGACAAGGTTATGGGCAGGGTGACAATCCATGGACAATTCTACCTTGCTGTAGCCTTCTCCCATTTGTCCTCAACAAGCCTAGCCACACTTCCTTTGTGTCAGTCTTTTCTGCTTCATAGGAAGAATCTAACCCAAGTTTTCTTTAAGCGGTAATTACAAGGCCAGGTAGTCGTATGAGTAAAACTTTACCTCTCCCGCACACACACGTACAATGCATATAAAGGTATATGTCTGTGTATTATATGCATTCATAGTTAAAGTCACCGAACAATGAACACAGTGAAGTATCATGGGCCTATAACATGTCTTTTCTTGGAATATCTCACTAATGGCCCATAGTCTAGAGGGATACCTGCTCTGGGGCAAGAAGCATTGCCAAGGTCTGGGAGCTGCTCTCCTTGGCCCTGTCAGGCTGAACTTGGATTGGCGGTGCAGCATACCTGCAGAGTCCCTGGCTTCCTTATCTAATCCTCCCCCAAGCTCCAGCTTCTGGAGGCTATGGCTATGGCTGGGGGGGGGGGGAAAAAAAAAAAACAAAAAAAAACACTCCATAGTGTGAGACAGGCCAGGGAGCTCAGCAGAGTCTCCAAATGGTGACAACCCAGAGGGTGAGCAGTGACCAATGGCTGGCCAGAACCTGCTAACAGGAGGCAGCAGGTTCTGTGCATCCTGATGGTGGCAGCAGAGACCAGCTCAGCAGCCACACAGGGCTCCTGGGCCTAGCTCACAGTGGCCTGGAGCCAACCAATTTCAGTTCTCAGAGCATCTGAAACAGAGTTGGCAGAGAGTGTCTGCCAGTGTTCAGGAGACAAAGCACATCTCAGCCCTTGCACACTGATGCCCTTCCAGCTACTGGGAGGGCTTGTGATGTGGAAGGCGGGTGAGCCGCTGACCCTCCAGGCTCAGAATTCATTAATCTCACCCCTGACTTCCACTAGAACTAGGGGAATAAACCTATGACAAGCAAGCATGGGGTGGAGAAAGTATAGCTAGGGTCGAGTCCCTGTGGCAAGCATGGGGTGGAGAAAGCATAGCTAGGGTCGAGTCCCTACTGCTCTACACAACCTGGCTTCTCTCCTAGTCCCTTCCACCAAGGTGATAAATTCTATACTCACACTTTGCTACCAGCCAGACTGCCTGGAACACCTGTGAGGACTGTAGAGTAGCTTTGGGCTACACAGCCACTAGGGGAGGTTGGAACATTGGCCTTCAGGCCTGGAAAGCTCAGTTTGTGTGGTTACTAGATAAGGTGGGACTCTGGAAACAGATAAAAATGTCTATGAGAGCACCTAAGGTTCTGAGACTGGACAGCTAAATATTCCCTGATTGTGGTCAAAGATGGCTCCTAGAAACTCTGCCTCTGACTAAGGCCACAGAGCTGATGTAGAAGCAGCCAAGGCCCAGGTAGAAGTGAGGAGCCACCCGTATAAATGCAGAAACACCAAGAAAATGGGCTCTGCTGTCCCCAGTGTGAACAAAACCAGATCTTTAGAAAGGGTGTCCTACACTCCCACCCCCAGCAGCTGAAGGCGGCTCGTGTAGCTCTGAACTGTCCTTGAGGTACAGTTCCGGCTGTGTCTCTGTCCCTGCCTTGGTTGGTACCAGTTTACTAACTCAATGGTAGAGTGTGGGTGATGATCACTGTCTCCTGGCACCATGGTGCTGTGTATGCTTGTTTATATTTGTTTTCTCTAGATGGCACAGGGATAGAGTAAGACAAACCTGAACTCCAACGGTAAACTAGAGCTTCCAACACACTCGGAAGATTATAAGGCAGTTACTTCCCACATTAATGAATAATTATTTGCTTATCGATTGTGCTACATTTTCTCCATCTTACCCCTCTTTTAGAAGCTTAAACAATACATGTGTTCCTAGCACAGATAACAGAGCTGCTTTCGTGGAGCATGAGGCACCATCAATTTCACATGTTCCCTGAACTGGAGCGGACGTGTCCCATCCAGCCCTGACACGAAATTTGTCAGCCAAGTGGCATTTGCAGTGGATTGAGTGGAAAGCTGGCCATGTGAAGGGGCTAAGCCTTCAGTGCTGACCTGTGACATGAGGGAAGGGTGGCATTCTGGCTTCACAGCCTTCCTGTGGGAAGCCCCGGGGCTTCATTTAAGGCCACGGTTAGCCCATTGGGTGATTTGAAGCCTGTTTAGCCAACAGGGTTGATGCCAGCACAGGCTCTGTTAATGGTGGCTAATGTGTTCCCTGCTGACTTCCTTGGTATGCCTGGGCATGGGTGGAATGCTGCATTTCCTGGGGAGCATGGGTAAAGAGATGGACTATTCAGAAGTGGCAGGTATAGCAGGTTTGGGCAACACATTTCTATGAAGGAGACCCCGAGGGTCACAGATGCGGTCAAGAATATTGCTCCCCGAGAGCCATTCTGATGCCTCTGGGACTGAGGTGGACATGGCTTAGGGACTACAGGGTAAAAATGACAAGGTATATGAGATTCTCAAGAGCACTGGGCAGAACATGAAAGGTCAGAACAGGAGGTCCAGCAGGAGTGAGGAACCCATTTGAGGTAGGATATGGTCAAGTCCAGCAAACATGCTCTGAGAATGGAGTATGACAAGGGAAGCCATAAGGGAGACCTTATAGTTCTGAGAGGCCATGGCGGGTTCTTGAATGTCCCCTGACTCCTCATTCTTAGAGGACAGGTTGCCACAGGTGCTGGTTGCTATGAAGTAGAGAATTACATGGCGCTCACACAACTATGACCGGTAAAGCACACTGGGTGGTATAGGGACGGAGAAAAGCTAAGATCACTGAATTCAGAGGCTTTAGTTCAGCCTGTGCATTAAGAGCTGTGCTTTGGCCAAGGCTGATGGGACTTCCCAGCCCCCGGGAGCTTTAGCTCTTCTTTCTCAGGGGAAGGAGGGAGAGGTAAAGGGGAGAGAAAAAGACAAGATGGAGAAGCAGGAGAGGATGGTGATGACTTTTCCAGCTGTTGCTTGTTAACTCTGGCCAACTGTTATCCATAGTGTTTGGTTCCTTGAGGACTACAGCCCTGCCAACCACTCCCTGCCACCCAAATCCTAGGCAAGCCGAGTCTCTTAGCTAGTTTGGTGTTTCTATAACACGTGTGGCTGGCCAGCTCTGGAAATTGTGGCTTTATGATCCATGGACATTCGAGCTATACTCAGAACCAGGGATGGGCAGGCCATGATTCTGGCCTTGCTGTCTTGTTTGTGGGGAACCTGGGGCTTTCTGCAGCTCACTCAGTGGGGCTCCCTGACTCAAGGGCAGGAGAATCTGAGGGATGAGGAAGGATAGAAGAGAGCAGGGTACTTACAGCAGGAAGAGATGGGGACACTGATGGCCAGGATGACCCAGACAATATCCATCTTGCTCAAGCAGATGGTGGCTCTATGCTGGGGCTTGTCCCCTTCAGCCACATGGGAGATGTTGCCCACTGTTCCTGGCTTCCAGGTCCCAGCAGGGACCAGGCGGTTGAGGAAGTTTCCTGTGGCTGTGGACAGCACTGTGGAAAGAGCTCTGGGCCCCCTGTCGGTGGTTGTGGGGGAGGCCTCAGCCTTCTCCTCAGCTAGAGAAACAGTGCTTTCTGAGACTCCAGAGGGCCAGGTTGGGGCCTGAGGGGTTGCCGATGTTCCCTGAGGGATGCCCTGGGAAGGGACTGAGACACTGGTATCAAAGGCAGCCTGGGTAGGCCCCGTGGCAGCCGTGCAGAACATGGA